AAAAAAAAAAAAAAAAAAAAAAACATCTTAGTAAAACCAATACTTTTTCAGCTTCGTATCAATGCTAAAATTTATAGTATAAAATTTATATATATATTTTTATTAAAAAAAAAACATGAATTATCTCACTATTAGTGAGTTAGAAAAAAAAATAGTGTTCTTATGCGTTTTTATATTTTTCTTTATTTTAAGCATGCTCAATTCAAATTAATTATAAAAGTTTTGATAAATTTATATATCATTATTTATTCTCTATCCTTAAATATTAAAAGTAACGTATTTTGTAAAAATTTAAATTAATTTATATCAAAATACCTTTTATTGAGTTAGAACCCTTTTATGTTGTGTAATAGATAAGATTAAATATTTGTTATTATATTTGAATAAAATTCAATAAGCAGATGTAATAATTATATTGTTAGCTAAAACCCTTATTAAAACTTTATTCACATAACTTTTAATATTTGATATACAAAAATGTGACCTTAATTATTTTAAGATTACTTACAAGACAATATTTTTAATTTCAAACCCATCATAAAAAAAATGATCTTATGTTTTTATATTAATTGGTGGTAACAACAAAATATAAGAATAATCATTATGAGTTTCCACATTAATTTATTAATGTAGAAATATATTACTTAGTTGAAAAACTTCTAAGTCACAAAATTATACTAAAATGGTTTGTTGATTTTAAATATATATACCTAAAATCAAAGGCTAGTAAAAACATTTCTAAATGTTAAAGTTTAATGCTAAATCTAACGTATTTATTTAATATAAATAGTATTTAATGATGATCTAAATTGTTTACTTTACACAATTGACTTCATAATTCAAAGATTAAAATCTTTCTCTGATTATTAAATTGTCAAACATATCAACTGATTATTTTAGTTAGGATTTAATATTTCTATTTTCTTTTTATGATTGAAATAACATATATTTGAAATGTAATTACATTAAATTTTTACTATATTTGTATTTTTTAATAAACCTATTAATTAAGTGTATATATATATAATATTTTGTATTAATTATGTTTTAAATAATGTTATACCGAATTTTTAATCAAATATAAAATATCATACAATCTAATAATTAACACAAAATAAGCGACCGAAATTCAATTATATTTAGTTTGGTCAATAGTGTGTAAATAATCTATTTTCAAATCATGATTACGAAATTTGAAATCAATAATATTATTTCATTTTTATAATTTCTATCATATTAAGATTTTCGTAAACACCTGCCATATATATATATATATATATATATATTTTTTATAATTCTATTTCAATAATAATTGTTTTCTTTATTTGCTTGCTTTTTTTCTTTGCAATTTTATTGAATACCAATTCATGGTAGTTAAAAAAATAAATATCTTTTTAGACCGATTATGTTAGGTAAAAATGTATTGACAAAACGGATATCGAATTAAATTTTTTTTAAGAAAATTCGATAGAATCCCAATTTTTGGAACGCCCAAGTTGGATACTAATAATATAGTTCATACTATTGAATTTAAATCGTCTGATGATGAATGATCCCTAAATTAAATTACAGCACTTTCTTACTAAAAATACTAATATAATAAAAGTGTTTATTCTACAATTAACACTATCAAATAATTTCCTAATGGTTAAATCTCGTAGTTTTTAAAATATAAAAAGTTTAATTTTTTAGGATTTTTATTTAATATTTTGTCCCTAATCATGCTATGCAATAATACTTTGATATTAAATTATTTTATTAAATTCTAATTTATATATTTTTCTAAAATGTATTAACTGTATAAATTAATTTTCTTATACATCATTTTGCCATTAATTTAAGTTGTTAATTTGGTATAAATAAATGCGCACAGCATTATAAAAAATATAATAATAATGTTGCCATGGAAATGGTTTCTCTCTTAATGCAACTTTTACGTACATAAAGTGTATGCATACACCTTATGTACTAACGTACGTTTTAGTAGTCTATTGATCTGAAAATGAAACATCTAAAACAGAAACGGTCACTAATGAACTAATACGTATCTTGAATTGGTCATGAAATTAAAAGTAAATAAATTGAATTTATCATTCATGACGTAAATTGTTAATGTCATATGTTGGAAATGCTGGGTTAGTTAATTTCATTAGATCGTTGTTTGAATTAGTTCAGTGTTCAGTAGTTAGTATGCTTGTTATTGTAATTATGAAGACATTATTTGTGTAATTAATAATATTGGACTTAATTAATACTAGTTTACAGATAAATTAAAATAATTTACTTCACTTTGTTTACCCTAATACTTACAAATATTTGTTATTATTCTATTAACAAATAAATTTATTAGTTAATAAATAGTATTCAAAAATTATGTTACTTTATATAACATAATTAAAAAAAAAAAAAATTTTTATCAGTCATATTTGAAATTAATAATCGTATAAAAACAAAATATCGATATTTTTTTTTGTTATGGCTTTCACATTTTCTAAATATCTTAATAATTTTATTATTACTTATTTTATTAATATCTTAATTATTTATTTTAGTTTTTTTAAAGGTTGATGCTCTTTATTATGATTTTCCAATGAATACTTATTTGTATTTGAAAGAGACATATTGTAGTTAACTATTCAAATGTTCTACCTGTTACCTATAGTCAATTATAGTCCATTGATAATAGATTTTGTAGCGTGAAAAACGAAGTTTAAAAATGTAGTAAAAATTGCTACAACAAATATCGGTTGAGCGAGCATTATGTACTTAGTATTTATGAACTCGTATGATTTTATGCCAAAGTAAGTGTTTATAATGAATTATCGAAATCTCAGTGTAAGAGGGTCATATGAGGGGGTTAGAATGAAAAAGATGTGAACCAATTTTTATGATTTTTCAGGAGAGTCATTAAGTCCTATTAGGTCTATTATAAATGTAGATTTTAAAATAATCAATAGAATTGTTCTAAAATATCATTTTATTGCTATCATTGATACTAGAGAAAGTTTTAAGTTTGAAATATTCATCTTTAGATCATACTTATGCTATCCGATAATTGTCTTCAATCACTTTTTTTCTAACCCTCTTTAGATATATTTTATTTTAATATATATATTACTTTTTAGTAAATTTTAATATAATTTATTATTTTAGATTTAAATATTCAAGATACGTTTATGAAAATAGACTTGAAATCAAGTTAAAAATAACTTAAAATCGATACTTAAAAGTCTTTTATCTCGAAATGCCTTTTACCAACATACGACCCTTTTGTACTAACAGTGCAATAAATATATTAGACATGTTTATTAGTTATGTATTGTTCATATGAAAAATCAATTACAACGAACAAAATATGGCTAAAATTATAGATATTAATGAAATTGATCCCGAAAATTCTTAAGGGCTAATTTCGATATTAAAAAACAAAATCTACAAATATTATCGTTAAACGGCCGATTAAAAATAATCTATTATTCTAAAATGTATGTTATGGTTTTTATGATATTTTACGTTCTTCAGGAAGAGGAAAACCGAAAAAGAGGTGGTTGAATGTAATTAGGAGTGATATGAAGAATGCTGCTTGTGGTGTAGATGATGTGGAAAATCATGTTAAGTAGAGATTTAAAATACAGGCGCTCAATCCCAAGTATTTGAGATAGTTACTCAGTTTCGTTCTTTTGTGACCCGCGGTATAATAACACATTTTTGCATGGTCCAATTTTTTGTTGGCTAGAAACGTGTATTTTTTTTAATTATTAGTTTTAAATTTTAACTCCTTTTGTGTTATGTTTTCCGATGGCTAACGTTGTTATAATTTATGTTAGGTGTATATTATCTTACGTAATGTAATTTTACCAATGCTCGTTAATAATTGTATATTTTTATACTATTATCTCCAAAACATTGGTACATTGTTTTAAAAATGGACAAAACTTTTTTAGATATTTATTTAAAAAATTGAATTCATTTTTAGACATTAATATAACATAATAGAATAAATAAGTCTAAATGTTAATAATTAATTTAAAAAACGTCTTTATATTAATTTTGTTAAAAAAAAAAATTCTGTCCTGGTTTTAATTTTTTTTTACAAATAAATTTCTATGAGAGCTACAGTTGAACTTCTTATATTATATTTAGTTTAACATTAGTTACTTTACGAAAATTTAAACTTCGATTAACACTGAAAAATTAATTATTAAACTTGTGTAAACTGGCAAACATTACCTAGCGATAACGTCATTAGGTGATAAGGTTACTAAGGGTATATGAAGAGGTTTTTTTCGTTCGAGGATCAGTATGCGTGTAGCGTTAATAATATTAACATTGTTCCCAAAATATGTATAAACAATTTTTTTTTTTTTTTTTCTAGTATTTTTTGTTTTTTGAGTTAAATATTTTTAGTATAACTTTAATTTTAAATTAAATTCTAAGTCAACGACATTTTATGATTTCCCACATTTTTTTAAATATATAAATCATGATATATCTAATATAATATCTGGATATTGTAATATTTAATAATTTTTGCTAAAAACTAAAAATTAATAATGACTGACGTCTTAACCTTAATAAATTGAACTAATGCTAAATTTAATGAAAAAACTTTATTTTTTTTCTTAGAAATGGTGGAATCCATGAAAAAAGTAGCATCATTAGATGTAGAGTTATCTGTAGAAGAGCGAAATCTTCTCTCTGTGGCTTACAAAAATGTTATTGGCGCCAGACGTGCAAGTTGGCGTATAATTTCAAGTATTGAACAGAAAGAAGAAAATAAGGGTGCTGAAGAAAAATTAGAAATGATACGACAATACAGATCACAAGTATGCTTTGATAAATTTTTATAGTTAATTATTGTTTATCTTATTTTATTTTGTCTAATTTTTAGGTTGAAAAGGAGTTGCGAGATATTTGTTCTGACATTTTAAATGTTCTTGATAAACATTTAATAGCTTGTGCTGCTTCTGGTGAATCTAAAGTCTTCTATTACAAGATGTAAGTTAATGTAAGTTACAAGTGACACTTTTAATAATATTAAATTTTACAGGAAAGGTGATTACCATCGGTACTTAGCTGAATTTGCTACTGGTGATGACAGGAAAGAAGCCGCTGAACACTCACTAGTTGCTTACAAAGCTGCTAGTGATATTGCCAATCAAGACTTACCCCCTACTCATCCAATAAGGTATTTTTTAAGTTTATAATTTTTTATTTTCTATACTTAAGAAATACATATTATTTTAGGTTGGGTTTGGCTTTGAATTTCTCTGTTTTTTACTATGAAATTCTCAATACCCCTGATAGAGCATGTCATTTAGCTAAGAAAGCATTTGATGAAGCTATTGCTGAATTAGATACCTTGTCTGAAGAAAGCTACAAAGATTCCACATTAATCATGCAATTATTAAGGGATAATTTAACGTTGTGGACCTCAGACATGCAAGGAGATGGTTAGAATATTTACTCGTTTGTTTTTTATCTATATTATCATAACTATTTATTTCAGGTACAGAAGCTGAACCGAAAGAGCAGCTTCAAGATGTTGAAGACCAAGATGTCTCATAAATATGATAGTGGATTGCACTAAAATTTAAATTAATAACTAAATTGTCATCGAAAAACTATGTCTGTGTACAAATATTATAATATCAAGTATGAAACATTAAATTATGCATTCAATAGTAACAGCTCTAAAAAGTTATCACGACTCACTCCAAGACTGTCAAATATTTTTCATACACTTTGATTTTGTGTTATTATACTGGCAGGGGAGATATGGCATAGCAATTCTACTTCAAAATACTCCAAAATTTTATTGTCTATTATTATTATTACTTTTTTTTTTTTTTGTTCAGTATTATATGTTAAAAGTTTTATTTTTATATTTAAATTATAAGGCTTTTATTATTATATATTTTTTCTTTTCTTTTATTATATTTTTTAGAAAAAAAAATAGAAGAAAAGTAGCAGGGAAAACAAAAGTAAACATAATATTTTGTATTATTTTTCACTTAAAATATATTTATGAAATATAGAAATAATCGTAAAAATCTCATTTCTGTTTCTGATTTAAATTAAAAAAAAAAAAAATTAGTAAGAGTTCCTGATATTATACCAGTGATTTTTTCTTCATGTGATCATTTTATTTTATATTCCTTGAATAAATGAAATCTTTTTTTTTTAATTATAGCACAATAATTTCTACATCACATTTAACATTCAATATAATATTTTATTATTTGCTTATATATAAATAAAACTAGATCTGGCTACTTTTAAATTTAGCCATTTTACATGCAGACTAAATATTTTTATGTATATATGTATGTATATTTACATGATAAATTCAACATTCTATGTCAATTAGTTTATACTTTTATACTGAATATTTATGACATACATTATAATGTGGATAATTAATTTCATTTCTTATACTTTCTTCCAACCCCTGCCTTAATATTTAAATTAAAGCTTTTGTGTTATCTACTCTGCCCTTGTAACTATAACAGCAATAATTAATCATAATTACTTTTAATGGATTTATATATTCAGTATTAGTAACAAAAATAATGTAACATTAACATTTTAATATCTGTCATTCCACCAAAAAGAACTTAGGTTATGCATTTATTGTAGAAATATTACTACTATAAGATTTATTATTACTATTATTAATATTATTATTAATTTACATTATGAAATGGAAATTTTATTACAAAAAATTACTGCTTTCTCTTAGTGTTTTCCAGGAGTTTGTTTTATAGTAATTATTATAACTATTATATTAAATAATATACTTAAATAAAGTAACAAGGTGTTGTATTGATAGAATTACTTGGCAACTTAATTTTAGCTAAATTTGTAGTGCTATGAATATATCAATTCGCCGTATTACAATGATGGCATTTAATTTTTTTTTTTTTTGTGATATATTTTTATTATTATCCTAGTTATTATTTACTGTAACCATGTACTGACAATATTTGTGTGTAATTTTTACTGTATATTAAACAAGATGAATACGGACCAAAATGTTTATCTGAAACAAATATTCGTGTAGTCATTAGCCATTTATTGATTACTTAGTATTATATATTGTGTAGACTTTTTCTACTTTTCGGTATACGTGACTATTTTTTATTAAAATTATTGTGTTTAAAAAAAATCATTTGACAGTGTTTCCGGAGTGTTTCTCTTTTGCCAGTTATCAGTTGTGTAAAGTATTTTATAATATGTTTATATATTTATTTAAAATAATGCATTTAAATAATAAGTGAGTAGGTGAGATTGGGTGGCTGTATACCCTAATCCATCCTTTCTGCCTTACCTATTATATTATTAGACATGCCAGTAATTTTTTATATGCAGTTTTAAGATGTATATTAATAATTGTCTCTTAATTATATTACAAAATATTTAAACTAAAATAATTTAATTTGATTTTTTATTTATTAGACATGTAAGGAACTATTGATGCCTATGATAGAGTACCAAGAGAGGTTTTAAAGTGGGCAATAATAATAAAAACCGTCCCAAAAAGGTACATTAATATAATATGATGATGGCACTTGTATCCCAGTTAAAATTGTAGGCGGAATAACAAAAGAATTAAGGATAAAAGTAGGTGTGTACTAAAATTTTGCTTTAGACCCTTTCTTATTTTCTATAGTAATGGATAGAATTACTAGAAAAGTGCAAAACAAGATACCTTGGTGCTTGTTGTTTACTGACGATATAGTGTTAGGAAATTGATGAGTATGACAAAGAAGAAGACGAAGTGGGTGAAATGAAGGATCAGTAAAAATAAACGAGGACATGATAAGAGAGATGAAAAGTTTTAAGTATTTAGAATCAGTTGTGCTAAAAAATGGCGGTATTAACGAGGATGTAAGCCACAGTATAAAGTAAAGTGTGGGCGGTTTGTTGAAGTGGAAAGAAGTATCTGGTTGTTATGCCATAAGAGAATTTCAATAAGGCTGAAAAGTAAATTATAGAGTATGAGTTTGATAAAGAAGAACACAAAGTAACTGAAATGAGGATATCAGTGACAATAAGCAAGGGCGTAATAGGAAAGTTTTAATTGTTTCGGATCAGTTTTGCAAAAGAACGATGATGTAAGACACAGGGTTAAGTGCGGGTTGTTGAAGTGGAGAGAAGCGTCTGGCGTCGTATGCGATAAAAGAATTCCAATGAGGCTGAAAGGTAAATTTTATAAGACTAGTGAGACAAGCTATGATGTATGTTTCATAGTTGGGCGGTTGATAAGAAAGTAGAGCAGAGAATGAGTGAAACAGAGATGAGAATGCTTAGATGGATGAGTATAAATAATAGAAATATAGTTAAAGTGTCAAATGTCATATAAATTGCTGGGATTATTTCACTTTTATGACAAGTTCTAATGTTTCATTTAATGAGGATTTTTTTCAAGGATTGGCAACATTTTTTTGACAATTAATTAATATTGTCATTTTTATCATTTAGAAGTTCTTTTATTTTTAAACGACAATAATCAAGGGGGTGCATTCTTAAATCTGAGAACTCAAGTTCCATAACAACAATATTTTTGATGACCCCAGAATTTTTTATTTATTTTTTTTTTGTTATAACAACTATTTTTTTATTGTTGGGTCTCTTTTATATAACTTATTTTTTAATTTCTCGTTCTATTAATTTTGACAGAGTGACTAGACGAAGGTTGGGGTGTGTAACCTTCATAGTTCAGATAGTAGCCTCTCAAAACTAAAAAAATTGATAGAATTAAATCTGTATAATTTTATAGACTGGAATAAATATACTTAGATAAATATAAAAATGTTACAATTTTGTGTTTAAGATGAAGAGTATTTGGTCTTTTAAATTTGTAAAAGTGTCACGGGAAAAATTATACGACCCAGTTAATATTCAAAAAAAAATAACCTTTGGAAATTTTTTTTTCTTGTTGCTTAAATTTACATTTGGATGTTAACCCATCCCTCAGATTTTTTCTGGTTATTTTTTACGTGTAATAAATTGGTGTAAAAACATAAGATATGCTACTTTTAGCAAATATTTCTATTATAATATTATAATTTACATAGTTTTTCATTAAATATTAATGATTTTGTTATTAATATAATGATATTTTAATAATATAGATATACGCGATTTTAATGTTTAATTTAATTTATTTCCAATTGCTGTTGTTAGGCCTCACATATCTAACGTTTAGCGTTCTTTTAAAGCAATGAACTGTTTTAAATACTGAACAATAACAGATGACTATGTAATTTAAATAAAAAAGTCAATTTTGATATAATTATTTACTAAAGGTGCTGGAATGAAGTAGTGTTATATTAACCCCTAACCCTAAATAATATATTTATTTAACAATAAATATAATTTTGGGGAGTGGAGGAGAAATTTGAACTTTTATCTAAGCAAAAAAACTAAAATCTAAAAAAAAAAACAGTTAATGCAATTTTAACGATAGAGCAGTGTAACCAACACCAAAATGTACAAAATTATGTTAGGCTAAATAAATAAAAAAAACACTTATTGTCACTAATATTTTTCTTCCTATTCCGTTTAAAAAATTAAAAATTGATTCTCAGACTTTTCTAGAATCAACGACCAATAAAAAGAGGATTTTAGTAAAAAAAAATAATAATTAAGGACACAAAGATTAAATAAACTTTTTTAAAGCTAAATTAAGTTTAAAAGTTATAAAAAATTTTAACTCGACTTTTAACATTGCTAGTTAAATTTGTAATTTGTTAACTTATTAATGTTGTTCTTACTTAATTTGACTTAACTATTTCCATTAACTTACCAATTTTTGAAAATGAAAACTATGAAATTCTGTCATTTTGAAATGATTTACTATTAAGAAATAGTTTTCCAAGCTAATATATGTTTTAATTTTTAGAAGTCTTTTTTTAAGAGGAAACAGATATACGGGTATTAAAAAACCGGGCTAATTGTTTTGTGTTAAGATACATTAGTATTGCTAGAACTCCCGAGCGCTCAGATCAACTTAAATTAATCTTCCGGTACAATTTGTAGTAGTAACTTTCTTATTAATTGAATTCCCTCACATTAAATAATTCTTAAGTACAATGATATTGTTTTCAATAATGTGCATTTTTTTGTGTACTTTATTATTTTGATATAAAATATAAAAACTAATCTGTTAGAAACTCTGAAACTAAGTAAAAAGTATGACTGGAAATTATACCCAGGTATTTTGCTTATCCGAGCTTTCTCATTAAGATACCTAATTCCCAAAAAAAAAAATTCGTTTCCTCGTACTACTTATTATGCAGAAATGCATTAAAAAATATTTTATTTTAAAATTATGCTTAATCACAACAAAGTTTAAAACTTGTGCATTTTTTGTCAGCTACAAAATAAGAAAAACCAATAATACATAATAAAAAAAAAAATTTCATTAAAAACTTGTTCTTCATTGAAAATTTTATTGTTCCTTTGTTTTATGTGCTACTACATTTAAAATACATTAATTAATTTGGTCAGCATTAATAATTTTCAAGAAAAATTTTTAACTGTCACCCCCGCACGTCCATCGAAAAAATCACTGATTCGCGTTCTATGAAGTACTCCGTATCAAGCAGCTGATTTCTACCAAAAAGACAGTGGAGGTTTCAATGTACTACAACAACACCGCAACCAAGCAACCGTGACGACTGCGCTATCGCCATCGGCCATACTCCATCGTCGTCCCACTATTCTGTAAGACACTCCGATTTCCCCCTCTTACATCGCTTAACAATTTACCTGTGATATGTTATTATTCTGGCCGTCATCTACAAACGTTGTGTACTCTATACTCTCTGTATACTTCTATCTTAACCGCTTAACAATAACAAAAGATCTTGGTTGGCGTCCGTTGTTGGTAAATTAGAAGGCACTGTTAGTCGGGTCTACCGCACTGTTGCTCGTAGTGCCCTTCGCTAGTTTTTGTTATCATTATTATTTTTTAAGTAAAAGTGTGAATCATATAAGTAGAATAAAGTGTTCCACTTAGACTGCCATTATCTTCATTATTTATTCGTATTCATTTAATTGTCAGACCATCTTGATTGAAAACGTTCTCGTCTTCTGTCCCTGCTTTTTAAGATGAATTCATGGCGGTGATACACAACAAGTATTTACAATAGTAATACAATCGTAATAATAAAATTGTGTGCCACTTATGAAGTCTCTACAATTGTATTGTTTGCTGATAGATCAAGACGTGGACGATAATCTACATTCGGCCACCGAACGTCAAAATCATGGGACTCTATTGTGGATAACAGCATAGTAACGGTTTACATTATTATTGACCACATTGCTGCAAGTTCGCCGTTATTTCTGTCCAACATCTATTAACGTGAGTCTTTGGCCAATGACCCAAAATATTATATTGTGTTTATTAAATGCGAGTGTAATATATTATAAAGATTTAAAGTAATATAATTGATGTATTGGTTTAAATTTTTCGATAAAAAAATATAATTAATTTGTTTAATAAAAAAATGCAGCTGTTAAATTCTTTATAATGTAGCAAAATCTTTATTATATATATATATATATATATATATATAGCTAATTATCATTAATATCAAATATAGTATTTTCTCTATGAAAGTATAACATTCTCTTGAAAATTATTAGAATTGTGTATAATTGGGTAATTTACAATTTTTTACTATTTCATATATTGACCGTTTGCAAGTTATTTAGTATAAGAAATTATTATTGTAATCAACCAGTATTTTTTTTAAAAATATCTAATATATACTTCAAATCAACTGATTCTGAATATTTGGGATAAAATGTCGCTTATTACAATTAATCTGCAAATGGTCACTGTATAAAATTTTACTCATATAAGTCTAAAGTTTTCAATGAATATACAGTAAATAATATTGTGTCATAATATGTAATATTGCTGTAGAACAATACCTAGATATCTTTTTTGTTATAAATGTTATTAACTGCTTATTGAAACCAGATTATACTATTTTTAAGTTAAAAACTAAATGGTAATTATTCATTAGAAGTGTTCATTTACTGGTGATATTATACTAGTATGAAAGTAATGTTAATTCTATTAATGAATTTGATGATTATTAATATCCTATCATGTTGAATGTTTTTTAACTAATTTTTTCTAATGGCATAATAAATATTGTAAACATTTTTACTATTATAAATTATGTAGATATCTAATTTGACTGAACAAAATTACATAATTATTAAGGCCGTCCTGAATGGAGTGTTAACCTTCTACTTGTCAATATTTGATAATTTTAGTCTGAAATTTTTCAGTATATAGGGTTGCTACATAAGACTAAAAAAAATGTCAAACAATTAAAAAAGAGTTGTTCATTCAATTGTTAAAAATAATTTTTGACTACACCAACACAAAATTTTGCTTGGGGATAGCCTTATTGATTGTACTATTTTTAATAAGATATCTATTAATATTTTATGTGTATTATTTCAGCTATAGTTTTTATCAGTATATGATACAATGACCAATCAAATTGACTACCAATGGTAAATAGTGTTTTGTAACTTATTTTTTTTTTGTTTATATATGTTTCTTTTAAAATTTAGGGCTTATACAATCATGGATTCATCTCGTGTATCAACTTTTTTAATATCGATTCTTCTCATTGTCTACGGAAGTTTCAGGTTTAGTGTTTTGAAAATTCATATACTTAGGTTTTTATCCATTTTTAATAATTTATTATAATTTGTATTTAGATCTTTGAATATGGAACAAGAAGCAAGAGAGAGAGAAAAAGAAAAATCTAAAAGTTCTAATGGAAGTTCTGTTTGCTTGACTGATATTAGTAAGCGTAAACAAGGTTAACATACTTCTAATCCATTTCATTTATTTAATACATAAAACAATAGATTACTGTATTGAAAACTAAATATTTTTTAACTATTAGGAAATAAACTATTTTAGCTTCGATGCGAAGCTGAGAAGGTATTAATTTTACCATGATGTGTTTTTTTTTTTTTTTTTTTTTTTCTTCA